ATTTTGAAAATGGTTCGGGAGTCGATTACGCGTGGGGAAGGTTGAGCACCTCCACAACTCCCAAGATCGGTACCTAAGCGATTATACGTCATCTAAATATTAAAATTTGTAAATTTGAATATACATTTAAATTATGATCCTATTATAAAAAATTTTCGAGAAAGATAATTACTTCGTACGGACAATCCTTAAAAAATACTCTTTGTCAGTTAAGGCGTGTTTTTATGGATTCTCAATACAAAATAATATTGCTTTAATTTATTTTTTGTGAAATTTACATATTTAATATATTCGAAAAAGTATCGAAAATAAAAAGGATGCAATTTCGCATGAACAATCCTTGGAAACACTCTTTTTGTCAGTCAAGACGCATTTCCATAGATTTTTATTAATTTTTATGCAAAATACATGTATTTAATGTATTTAAAACTCACTTGAATCTTAAAAAATATTATTTTATACGAACAACCGTCGAAAACACATTATTTATCAGTCAAGTCGTGTTTCCATAGATTTCCCATACAAAATAATTTTTTACCTCGTTTTTAGATTAATAATACATGTTCGAAACCTAAAGAAAGCATATTAAAATATTTTATGGGTAATAAAAGAAAACAATATGCGTACATGCTATTAACATGTTGGTATATAATGTAAAAAAAGGGCAACATGACGTGTGTGTATATATATATATATATATATATATATATATAATAAGATAATAGAAGGCAACATATATGCGCATAGAGAAGCATAGTGTTATCGTGGAAAAGTAATGGCCAAGATGATGTAAATGAAAATATGACTATTGAATATAAAAATCTAAAACTAAAAATAGGAATTCAATCGAAAGAAAAGTAAAATGCAAGTTTAATTTAAATATCAGAAAATAAATGATCACAACAAGCACAAGGGACCGTATCGAATGAACAATTAAACTATCGGTCACAATAAGAGTATAGCAAAAATAAAATCACTGAATAAGAAATAAGCAAATATATTCATGGAAAAAAATAAAATAAAATAAATGAAATAGTCGTGCGAAATCAAAGGAAAATAAGAAGTACTAAAACTGTTCAAAGGACCAAATTGGATTCCATTAAAAAACAAGGGAATTGCATACGAAAATAACCCACACATTCTTCATAGCACGCAGATCCATTGTTGGGTTAAACCCAACCCGCACATAAGCCATGTAAAAGCTAAATTTTTTGTAAGGTTTCGTTTTTCTTTTTTTTTTTTACAAAACAAAAACACCACAAAATGCTCTCAAACTTAGCCACTACCAGGACAGAACACTGGTCATCAGTGCCGTCAACTGCCACTCACGGTGGTCGGGGTGAGAAGCAAACAACCAATAAATGACCCCCTTTTCTCCCAAAACCTAGAATTAAAGTCCTTTTTATCCAAAAAAAACAACCAAGCATAGATCTAGGAAGTTACCTTTCGGTAACTTAGATTCCTATGATCTCTGAGATCCCCAGAGAACCACGAGTAGAGTAAGTCTTATTCTCCTTCTCTTTTACTTGCTCTTTTCTTTTTTTGTTTCCTTTTGGTTTTTTCGAAAAATCTCTCTTCGTTTCTTTTTTGTTTTCGAAAAAAAGTCTTCTTTTTCTTCTCTCCTTCGTTCTCTTTTATTCTCGTTCGAAGCATTCTTCTTTCCCTTTTGCTTGCAAGTTGAAAGTTTTAATATTTTTGTTTGTTTCCCTTTTTTTTGATTTCGATGCTCTGGCCGAGGAGTGAAATCCGACGATGATGTATGTAAAGACGGTGTAAAATATTTTTACCCCATAGCTTCTTGTTTGCTTTCGTGATGACCGGCGACAAACCCGCGGTGACGGCAACAGGTCTCGGAAACCGGCGAGACGAAGGTATGCATCTCTCGTGGGTAGAGAGAGGCGTGCGTGGAGTCGACGGCTGGTGCGAGTTCTTATGACAAAACCCTAATAATCAAAGAATCATGACCGTTGGATCTAGGCAGATCCAACGATTGAGATGAGATGGCGGCAGAGTGCTAATGATAGGGTAAAAGAAACCCTAATCTGAATGAATCTGAGCCATTGGATCAAGCATAGATCCAACGGATGACGTAGTCTGGTGGCTTAAAGCTGTAGTTGAAAACCGTAGGGTTTCGGGTCTTGGGCTGCTGGGTTGTAATGTAAGTTTGGGCTGTAATTTTGGGCCTATAAAAACTGTATTAAAAATAATAATGATTATAATAATAATATTATTATTAATAATAACCCCAAAAAAACGGGTGACTACAGCACTGTAGGAGGTTATCACCACTGTATAGCCTTGAAATTTTATCTGCTTGAATTTAGATGCTTTTGTCGAATTTAATGTTTATGTTATGCACCCAAACTGCCAAACTATATTCTCTTATGGTTAATTACGGACAGGATTTGAGTTAATGGGGAATTTTCTTCTTTTTTGGTGGACTGTGGATGGCCAAAAAGGAAGGGACAAGTTGGTGAGGGTGGGGTGAAAGATTGTAATTTAGGATTTGAGTATAATTTTTGGGTTTGAGGTTTGGATTTATATCAAAAAAGGCAAAAACATTTGGATAATGTTGTGGGGGGGGGGGGGATTCCCCACATAATGAATTATTTGTTGAAGTAGAGTGATTGATATAGTGTCACTTAGAAGATACGACAGTTACAGTGTGTCTTCAGTTTTTTCGAAGAAGATGCATGGACCATAATGTATTTTCTCCATGCACCATGCATGGTTCTGCCTTTGTCTTTGTCTCGTGAATGTGTCTTTTTAGGAAGAGCTGAAGATGCATTGTGGTCTCCTCTTCTTCTCTGAAAACCTGAAGATGTGTTGTGCTTCCTACGTCTTCCAAATCTCACTGTAGCAATCCCCTGCTTCAGCAAATAAATTAGTAGTGATATTATATAGAGAATTTTCCCCTGGCTAATTATCTCAACGTATTTGACTATAAAAATATTTATAATTTATTAAATTAAACATAAAATTAATATTTGTACTACCGGAACATATATATTTTTTTATTGAATTAATATGACAAATCATGCAAAGATTGGGATACATTGATGTTCGGAACGAATATGAATATAATTTGGACTTGTTTATATTTGAATGTTGGTTTTGAAAATTAGTTTGGGCTTATTATTTCACTAAATTCTTTTAAATATGGGCTTGAGTTCTTGGGCTGATTATTTTCATTGAACTTATTTTGATATTGTTTTTTTCCTATTAAACTAAAAGTGATTATAAAGTAATATTTATTTTAAATACTCTCAACCATTCGACAATGAATGTTTAATCACCCTTGCAGTCGTTGGTGCTCGAAACCGTGACCTCAAAGAACAACAATGATTTCTTTAATCACTTAAGTAAATTAGTTCGTGCTATTATGATATTGTTTGTTCTTTTATGGCTACCCAATTGAATTATAATTAGGCTTACTCTAAGTTTTCTTTTTTAAGAATTAATTTTGAATTTTTTAATGAAATCATAATTATAAGAATATGGTTGATTAGATTTCTATGCATCTTTCATGCCATTATTTTAGCAGTAAGAACTATTAATGATATCATCAAAGGTAAACTACGTTGTTTAGTACTTAAACAATTATTTTTGTACCGTTTCGGTATTCAAACTTTATTTTTTTAAATCATACCTAACTTTTAGTTTATGTTTCAATTTGATACTTCGTCATTAAAAAATTAAGACAACTACTAACGTAACATCTTTTTTTTTTCTTTTTTAACAATGACATGACATTGTCTTATGGGGACACATAAATATCATCGTTAAGTTTTTAACGATGTATACCAAAATGAAACTTAAACTAAATATTAAGTATGATTTTGAGAAAAAATAAAGTTTGGATTCCAAAATATAACACAAACAATAATTCATATACTAAACTTATTTTTTACCCTATCATCAATTGTACATTCTAATAACATTATAAACATTGAAGAACCAAATTATGCCAAATTGTAAAAAGAAATAAATCCCATTTTTTATTATAGTAGAGGGACTAAAACCATAATTAGACCATTTTCTGGTAGTAACTATCTAAATTATTAATTGCACAATTTAAAAACAAGAATGTGACTTAAGTAAAAGGAATTTGACCAAGCAATAGCTAGGCTTGTTTGGTGAGATTTAGAAATTAAAAAATATGAATTTAAAATTGGGTAAAGAACACAATTGGTCCCCTGACAATAGGATATTATTTTGTTGAACCTCTAGGCTATTAAAAGTTACAAAATAGTCACCCCGACTATTCATTATGTTACAAACTCGTCATTTTCCGTTAAAAAATTAACAACAATCTAAGTTGGACGTTAACCTGTTGATTGAGATATGATAAAACCTATTTTAATGATCTTAAACGACTATCATATCTCAGTCAACATGTTAACGTCCAGCTTAGACGACCTTTAATTTTTTAACGAAAAAGGACGAGTTTGGAACATAATGAATAATCAAGTGACCATTTTGTAACTTTTAATAGTCTAGGGACTCAACAAAACAACTCTCTATAGTTTGAGGACAATTTTGTTACTTTTAATAGTCGAAGAACTCAACAAAGTAATATCCTATAGTCGGAGAACCATTTGTGTACTTTACCCTTTAAAATTTTAATAATACATCTTTAAAAAAAAATTGGGTATGCAAATTTATTTATTTATTTTGTTCCTCTTAACGTACTAAACTATTTTTTAACAACTTTTTTCAAAATAATAAGGATAAATTTGTTCCCTACGGAGCTTAGTGCATTCGTCTCTGGAACTGTTGGTTCAACAAACTTGCACAATTTTGCGTAAGAAACGTTCGACACGCGTGTTGTTGAAAATTTGCAAACATTGGAATATACAATGAAATATAGTTGAAAATGGACTCAATCTCTATATTGTTTGAGTAAATTAACAGCAACTAGAAAATTTTCCAGGAAATTTTCCTGGAAAATTTGAACTATACGTCTATTTACATGGCAATTGATGCTACTGCTTTAAAATCTAAGTGAACATTTGATCCAGTAAAAGAACCAGAGCCATGGCGAATCCAGGATCAAATCCTGCCTTTATAATCAACATAAACACATCTAGGCCGAAGGAAATACCTCCACTCATTGCAGCTTTCCTCTTGATCTCTGCAACCACTCTCTTCTTCTCATCCACCACTTTGCACGATCGATGCGAATACGATCCTTCGATCGTGTACGTGTACCTTTTGTCCGACGACCGGTGATATACGTATGCTAGCACATTAGGGTTGGTATGCAAAATGTTCATGCACTTCTTCACATAGAAAATTGGCTTTTCTGATACAACTGATGTACAGTAATAATCACCCACTTCCCCTCGGTAGATAACCCAGTTATGTGTTAGTCCAAGATTCTGCGCCATGAAAATAAAAAATTAAGCTTCGTATTTGATATATAGTAATCTGAAATTTTCAGAGAAACGTCCTCACCCGCTCCCGGTCTATCCCTGATTACAACTATGATTCATTGGAGAATTATGTAAAGATTGATGGTTTACCTTGCAACGTTTCATTGTTAGAATGGAGGTGCCTTTGGCGTCCATTAGAATGAGTTCCTTGGGGCGTCTTCCCATGTAATTATCAACTCGGTAAACCAGATTTCCAGTACAATCAATCACTGTGAATCCAGTACAGCTAACCAACAGTGATTTTCTCCACACTGTTAGTGATGTGCAAATAACACCGCCGGCATTGCCTTGGGTTTCGGAAAACTCGGGCTGGTGTTGATGTTGTTCATCGTGGACTGATCTGGACAAGGATTTCAAGAGAAGGAACATGTTTTTGTTGGTGCAGGAATTGTTGAGGAAGATTGAGAAGATTATGAAAGCATATATTTATAGGGTATTAGCCATAGAGTTGAGACTAAACATATGGTAGTTAAGCTGTATTTATTTTATTTCGAAAGAAACTTTTTTTATTTATAAATCGTTTAAGTAAGATTTTGAGTTTGAATTATTGTATACATAAAAAAATTTATACTAATATATTCACTCATTAAAATTAAATGTTCAATATAAGTTAGTCCGAATTAATTAAAGGTTAGTCCGAATTAATTAAAGGCGTGAGAATGGCAACTAAAAAATCTTTTTTACCTACCTCTCATCTTGGAAAAGAAAAGGGTGTTTTAATTCGATATTCTTAACGTTGGAAAAGGGGACACGTGGGGTTCAATTGCTGCGTCGATGGTATCCAAGATTCCAAATTTTCTCTAATTTCAATGTATTTGTTAGGTTCGTAATTCATTGATTTCAATGATCATAAGCAATGAAAACTGTAAAATTGGACAGAAAATCTTAAATACAATCGGTTAGTATAAGAAAAAATTTGATAAAAATTAATTGTAATTGAAAATTTTATCCTAAACCTAATTTTTTAGGTCGAACAAAATAATATTTTATGTTAAAACTGAAATTTTATTCATAACATTTTCGGTTGTAATCGAAAATAATATAAATTTGTATAACTTTTTCGGTTGTTAGCCCTAAATCCTTGTAATGTAGCTTTTTAGTTACATTTAGGGATAGATTGAGAGGGGCAATCGCAACCCTTAAAAGTTTTAAATTTCTATACAATTTATCAATGGCGGAACTTGGTGATATAGTTCAGGGATCCAACTTAAAATTTTATAATTTTTAGATATTTAAATTAAAATTTTCAAATTTTTTTGAAGGTTTTATTTTACATTTTCAAAAAAATTGGGGTATAGTTACATTTTTTAAAATTTTGAGAAGCTTAACAAGAAATTTTTAAAAATATTGGGAGGGATTTAATTAAGAATATACAAAAAAAAAACTAAAAATTAATGTAAATTTATAAAAAATTGGGGCTAAATTAAAATTTTTAAATATCTAAACTATAATTTTTAAAATTTTAGGGTCATGGCCTCCACTAATCTCCATTAACTTCTGTCACTGTATTTTATATTTTTTCCGTATTTTTTTAGTGAAAATCTATTTCTTATCCTTAAAATTTTATAAGTTCATATTAACCCTTAAAATTTTATAAGTTCGTCCCTCTAACATAAAATAATATATTCTTCTCTGATTAAAATAGAAAATATTACAAATTTATATTCTTTTTTAGTTCAATGAGATAACATTTTAAATTAAAAATTATTTTAAATTAACCTTGAATTAAAGTACCGTATAATAAATTTATTCGTAAAATCTGATAGAGATTCAACATTAACTTATTCTCTCTAGTTTTTTCCGTCACGATTTCCTGGGTCGATGACATCAACCAAATGAAACAAAACAGAGCACGGTGAGACAGCAGGCAGACCTCGTTGGTTTATTGTTTTCATTCGGATAATAGATTTGATTATATGTATAGTCCTATTATTTTTCATCTTATTAATTAAATTTAATTTGGTTAATAATAATAATTAAAATTATATAAGTAAGTATATTCATTTTTTTGTTTTTATTTAAAAATTAAATATTTAAATAACTAAATATTATATAAAAAATATTTTTCATGTTATGATCGGACACTACCGTTTATTGTCACATTTATGCAAATATAATTGTGTGTCTAATTTGTTGGATCTGTATAAGCACTGTTATTGAACACAAGATTACGATATGTTATCATTTATTTTTTAAAATGAAATTAAAAATATAAAATTAATAAATTATTTAATATATATATATATTGGTTGCCCTCACAATTTTAAGGTTTCACCTTTTGATGAGGAAATCTATGATTAATTTACAATGAGTTTTATTTTAAAATGTTACTTTATCTGTAAGAATTAACTTACCTCAGTGGTTAAAGGAATCTTTGTTGTTCCTAGAGGTCATGAGTTTGAGCACCAGCGACTGCAAGGGTGATTGAGTGTTTATTGTCAAATGATTAAGAGTACTTCGAACAGATACTATTTTGTAATCACCTTAACTTAATAAAAAAAATATTACTCTATCTACTTTAAAAAATTATATAATTAATAATTATTTCGATGACAACCGGAATGTTATGTAAGAGTGAGTTTTAATCTAAAATATTAGCATGTCTACTGTAAAAATATATTTAATTGGTAAAGAATACCAATTTTCAAGGATAAATGACATGTTTAGTACTTAAATTATTATTTTTGTTCCATTTTAATATCCAAGCTTTATTTTTTCAAAACCATACTTAATGTTTAGTTTAAGTTTCATTTTGATACCTATTGTTAAAAACTTAACAAAACTGCAGACGTGATATATTTTAATAATGATATGCCATTATCTTATGATGACACGTTAATATCATCGTTAAATTTTTAGCAGTGAGTTTCAAAATGAAACATAAACTAAACATCAAGTATAATTTAAAAAAATGAAATTTACATACCAAAATAAAATAAAAGTAATAATTCAGGTACTAAATATATAGTTTACAATTTTCTTTTAATAAGTGAACATGTGAAGTTGGGTTTTGGGAAGTTTGGCCAATGATGTTACACTGATAAAGCATAATAATGAAAGGTCTTAAATATCTTAACTATCTAAGGCAGTGGCATTAAATTTCTGGAACATCTATCTTCAGTCATACTCACTTCCAACACGTCTTTCCACTACGCATAGAGATATTTATAGTAAAAGATTGAAAAAGGACCATGTATATTCAGCATTAAGGGAATTATTTACAACACACTTTATCTTTCTTTTCCATTTGACATAAAATTACATTTAATCGCAATATCAGGATATCTAAGTAACGACAGTCTAATTTAATATTAAAGAAAAATACGATCCATTTTAACACTCGGATGTAGTTATATTGCAATATTTATTTATCTTTTGGATAAATCTATTATAATATTATAAGAGTTATAATAAAAACATATATCATGTAGATATTATTATTCAAATTCAAAATTTTAAAAAAAAATATTTTTTTGAAACATTAAAATCAGGTTGAGAGAAATCTTTAATTTCAACATAATAAAAGGACCATAAGTAAATCCAAACCAATCATTTCTCCCTAGGTCAACATAAGAACTTTCAAACTACAAAAAGATTCATCAGCAATGACCTAGCTATATAGCCTAGTCCGGGATGGACTCAAAGAGATGGTAAAGACATTAGTCATTTAATTTTTTTATATTTTTAATTAATAATATATTTTTATCGCTTAAAATTATATAAATTTCTAAAATTTTAGAAGTTCACATTTTAAGGACAAGTTTAGTATTATTTTTAAAAAATTATTTTAAAAATTATAATAAAAATTTAATTGTATGAGATTACTGTTAAAAATGATTTTTTGAAAATTAAAATATTAATTTTAGACATTATGTTATTAATTGAAAATATAGTATTTTTTATAAAAAAAAAGCTAGAAATTTAAACATAAAAAATTAAGTTAAAATTTATTTTTTTAACTGTAATTTTAAATTAATTTTTGAGTGTTCATCATAATTTACTGAGTAAAAATTAACTTTTATATTCGTAGATACATTTCTCTTAAAAAAATTTATGTCCGACTCTGTCTACGATTTTAATTGCAGCATGAAGCCAAGAAGTGACATTTCAGACGTCAAAGTTTTTGGTTGTCATGGGACAGCCGATCATGACTTTATTTTTTAGTAATAATCCCTTTCAACAACTTGATTGCTTTCAAACTTTTTCTGGTTTGGAGTGTTTTCACAACTATGACTGCAATTGGGGACATCCCCACCTAAAACCACCATCTTTGAACATTCATTCAAACTCAACATGCATCTTTGCTCCCCTTTTGGGACTTCAACCAACCGTGTGTGAACCAATTATCTAAATATAAATTATTCATTTAGTATCTAATGTATCAATTTTGATCTATTTTTATATTTAAACGTTTATTTTTCTTAAACCACACCTAACATTTAGTTTTATTTCATTTCAGTATTCGTCGTTAAAAACTTAACATATGAGATTGTCGACCACCGTGTTTATAGTCATCGGTCATCGTATTCGTCAGCCGATGAAACCTAAACTTTCAAGTTCACACATTTTCAATCTCCTGAATACAATTCCAACCTCGGTTTCACTGGAAAATACCTCAATCTCCCAAAATCAATAATGAACATTTCGATTTCTTCAATCTCCGATCTCCATGTTCCATCGTCCGATGGACTTTAAGTTGGACTATGTTAGTCGACTCATCATTCTCTCGTGATCCACCGTTCTGATGGTCGTCCATCTACCGGAGCCGTGTTATGCAAGTATATTCATTAAGTTTTTAATGACGAGATATCAAAATGAAATAAGAACAAAATGTTAGGTAAAATTTTTATAAAAAATATTTAGATATTAAACCAAATTAAAATTAATAATTTGATTTTTAGACGGGTAGTTTATCGGGGAAAAAAACAACTTTAATTTATTCAAATAAGATGGAGAAGCTTTGATTTGTGTCTGTGGGGTCAAGATTGTGAGTGAAAAAACGTAAAACATGTTTGTTTATCATAATGGTCAGACGTGGCCTTGGTTAGGGTCACACTATATCTGGCATGGTGGGTCCCTTTGAGATATTATTCCCTACCCGATTTAGAAAACTATGCATGCATGTCCTTCAATATTACGTGTCAAACCACGTGCAACATTCTTGCTTCATGGTCAGGATTTGTACTGTTTTCTTTATATAGTTACCGACATGAAATAATTTTAAACTTTTGAACTTATCCTTTCTAATTTCTTTCCGGGTAAACTACACATTTAATATTCCGACTATAAATTTTATTCTATTTTCTTCATTCAACTATTTTTTTTTAAAATCACATCTAACAATTTTTTTAGTTTTATTTTGATCATCTGTTGTTATAAATTAACAGAAATGCCACTATAGTAGAACTGGTTTATAGTGTTTTTTTCCTTATAGCGACGTTTAA